CTGAAACTGAATGTTCCAGAAATACATCTTGCTGCGCTTCCCTCACAATGAACAAATTTTAAAGAGAGAAACTGTCAGACACTTGGCTGTTTCTGGGTGGAAGTATTTACACTGCTTTGTAAAGCAAAGTTTAGATGAGCCAAAGGCCTCCTATTAGTGAGGAGCACTCCAACGCAACACTAGTCATGCTGTGTCTATGTGCAGCTGTCCTTTATTATTTGTTTTGCATCCCTGTATAACTGGATTTTACACACATCCATCTCAAAATAATTAAAAAAGTGTACTTTGTTTAACAGATTGGTACCTGGGACCCTCCAAGTGGCCTGAACATGACTGACAACCAGAAGGGGAAGACGACCAACGTCTCTGATTCCTTATCCAATCGATCCCTGATCGTCTCCACCATACTGGTACTCTATTTTTCTTATTAATCTATTTGTTCTGATGGAGAATTTGCACATTTTGTTTCAGCAGCTTTTACGTTGTATTGTGTGACAATAATGTCCATCAACAAAAACACAAAAACTGATTTGGTATCAAAATGATCTACCTCAATAGTCCATTTTTTCATCAGTATTTACTGTGTCATTATGTTGGCCAAATGGACTGCTGCTGTTGTGTTTGCTAACAGTTTGCAGTTGGTATAATTGGTTTCAAGACGGGATTAGTAAGTGGACAAAGCAGGCAACTGCCCCGAGGCCCTAAAACTGCAGGGGCCCCAAAGGCCCCATGTTCATTGTGTGGAGATTAATTTTAGAATCATTTAATAATAAATCTGAACACGTTTTTTAATAATATTCACCACTAAAGTGGAATATAAAGTGGTATAAACTTCTGGCCCTTGGGACTGGGAAAATACAACACTTACAGTCAAGGCCAAAAATATGGGAACAGCTGCATGTCTGTTATATAATGCACTACTTACTCCCTACTCCCAGAAAATTGCTGCAATTTTAAATGCTTTGGTGTTTATTTCTTTTGTATTCAAACAATCCCTCATTACAATCACTCTTTCATCAATTTTCTCTTTCATCCACGTCCAGGGAGATTAGCTGCCGTGCCATGGGCTGTAAACTTCTCAATGTCTTGCACAGTGGACACAGAACCTTTAAGATCTCTGGAGATGGACTTGTAGATTGTCCATGCTTTTTGAAATTTTGGTTCTCAAACTCTTTTATCTTTTTTCTTTTGTCCATGCATGCAGATGCACACCACAAAGGTTGAGTCAACCTTTCTCTATTTTAACACAAGGTAGATTTAGGGGCGTTCACACCTACCTCGTTTGGTCCGGACTTTCAGACTTTTCGGTTTGGTCCGAACCAGAATTGCAGGTGCGAAACCTCTCACGGATCACGGTCCGGACCAAACAGACGAAATTTGGTCAGACGAAAAGAGGTAGTCTCGGTCCGGATCCAACTGAACCGTGGTTCGGTTCGTTTCTGGTGTGAAAGCATTTTTTGGATGATTCGGACTTTCAGTCTATTACAGGACGTTTGGCAGTTGCACAGAGATGCATTGAAATAAGGACACAACTATAAAGCACACTGCCACATACACACATTTTCTTTGGTTTCTCCTGCAAACGGAGGTGCAGAAGGATCGCTTGCCGACATTATAATGTTTGTACAACGAGGACGTTTAATTGGGAATTTGAACTATGATGCTGCAGGTAGTAATGCCGTAATAACGATATAGTGGCAAATATGCATATGTTCATTTTTTGGTCATTCATTCTTGTCAAAGCTCCCCGCTGAACTGTTTCATGAACCAATCAATGTCAAGTACAGGGAGACGCAGCCCACATGGATGATGACGACAGGACGCTAGTCTGTCATGTGAAGTCCTTTAGTGCGGTCGCAGAATTGCAGTGAAACCAAAAACTAACCGAACGCATCAAAATGTATCAAAACATGAACTTTGGTTCGGCGCCCCCTTATTTGTCACAATATAACAGGTTATAGAGTGAAACTCCCTTCTGCTATGTAGCAGACAATATACATAAAGAAGCATTTATAAAAACGGTAAACAGAAATAATCTGTCATCAGTGGAGCAGTGCTGAGGATGAATTAGAGTTTAAGAGTCTGATAGCCTGGGGGGAAAAAGCTGCTCTGCAGTCTGGTGGTGCGGCAGCAGAAACTTCTAGATCTCTTCCCAGAAGGCAGCAGGGTGAACAGGCTGAGGCTGGGTGGGTTCTGTCCTTTAGTATCTTTGGGCTCTGTGTAGACACCTCACCTCACTGATATCACTGATGCTCGGGAGATGGGTACCAATGATCTTCTGAGCAGTTTAATCACCCGCTTTAGTTTCACTCTTCTCCCGTTTCCAGATCCGCTGCACTCAGTCCAGTCCCCACACATTCTATTCCAATACTGATAAATGTATTTCTGTCATCGGTAATCACAATTAGATGAGTTTTTGTAAAAAAAAAAAAAAAAAAAGGAGAAGACTGTGTGAGTTCTATATTGCCAGCACTTGTGCATTGTTACAGGTGACTTTAATTACAAATTGAAGAAGCATGCTTGAAATACAATTATTTCTGAATATTTATATCTGAAGGTGCTGAAAATTGTGCCCAGTCCATTTTTGGAGTTCTGTGTGGATTTGGCTTTTTTTTTCTCTGATTTTTTTGTGTTGTTCCAATGCAAATAAAAGAAATAAACATGAGACCAGGAGATACCATGAGACATGAGATACCAAAGCATTTGTAATTACGACAGATTTCTTGGAGAAGTAGTGCATTATGTGACAGACATGCAGGGGTGCCCACATTTCTGGTCATGACTGTAACACCTATACTGAAAACACTTCACTGGCTGCTGGTACAGTACAGAATTGCTGCTTGTTTACTGATCTGCTGCAGCTGCATTGCAACCCTGTCTTGTAGGAAGACACTGATAACAGCAAAGGAAAACAAAGAAATAATAAGGTTTATTAATTCAACAGTCGGTGAATTGGAAAGTTTTAGAAAGCTCATGGTTGAGTGACCCCGACCCGTTTGGTAGACATAAGCCGGTTCTGTGCAGTTCACTAATGTTATCTAACAGGAATTCTGTGTAATGAAGTCTGCAAAATTCAAACACTTACCTCTTGCTGCCATTTTGAACTGACAATGTGCAAATTAAATGTTGCAGCTTTAAATGCCTGTTTATAGCCAAATCAAAGTGTAATGGCTCTTTATGTGGGACCAATCACGGAAGGCTAGAACAGCTCTCAGCCATAACAGACTCTCTCCAAAGATGCTATTATTTTTAAGCTTTTCCTCTCGAAAAAAATCCTTCAGTGCTTTGCCTGAGCTGCCCTTTGTGTTTAAAGCACTTTCTGGGGGTTTTGCTTCTCTCTGACTCAATTGAAGTAGAGTAGCCCAAAGCACAGCACTCCCAAATTGCCAGTTGACTTCACCACCGTGGAGAACTCCAATTTGGTGGGAGCGGGCTGAGGCAGGGAAAAGTGACTGATTGATTGTCCAATGAGATCCCATGGTTCATGGCTCCGCCTGCTCCTGACCAATTTATCAGGTAGATTGTGTTTTGGTCTCCCTTGCCAGTTGTGCCAAAAACAATGGACATTTTTAAAGATCGCTTGTGTTCGTTTTTTTTAGATTATTTTGTCAGAAGTTCAAAGATCATAATGCATATATATAAACTTCACATAAGTAAGATTGAGCAGTTAAATGAATGAAGACAATTTAAAAATAGGTTTAGTTTTAGATTTGGATTAGTTAGTGGCCAGTCAGACATTGCTTAGGTGAGTGCCGTGGTGATTTCAATTTCAGTCAATTTCAAGTCAAGACACTCTTTAAAGCTGTGACATCCTCAACCTATCAAGGCTGTATTAACTCACCAGGGGGACCAAGAGCAACAATTAGCTGTGTGCCCCTTTTGACCCCAAATTATTTCCATCGACCCAGCACTTCAGCACAGTGTCTTGATGCCTTACAGTGAGTGACAAAACCTATCCAGGTTGCACATCACCAACAAACAGTTTCAGCATGTAACTAGAAACCACAAGTTGTTTTTACAGCTCTCTTTGTTTACAGATTAAAAAAAGAAGAAACAGGGTGGAAGTCATTTAGGCTAACTGCCGTGGAGTTTTTTGGCAAGGGCAGAATGGAGGTTGTTTTCAAGCATGTGGGGACCGCTGCTTGGGCCTTTGACCAGTTTACGATGTCATTTAAGACCTCAGTCCGCTGCATAGCCGAGGCCTTTGAGCAAGCCTCCTGGTATGCCATCAGGGCCATCAGGGCCGGCAGCCATACGTGCTTTAATCCTGCTCAGTGCGGCACACAAGTTGGTGGGGGATATTTAGAAACATTAGCCTAATAAAGTTATTAATATTAAGGTCTTTTCCCGGTTAGGTACAATGTTACTACCACTCTACTTCTATCTCACAGCAACCAGCAGTGATTTTGCATTTAGTCAGCCGGCACTGGACTTTAGTCTTAATAGAGTGTCACTATTGTCTAATAGAGCGATAATGCATCAGTCTGTTAAGGAGCATTCTCTCGGCTCGAATCTGACCATCGCCAGGGCCCTGTACTGTCGACAGTTTCAATTTGCGCAGCTGATCCTTTGAGCGGCAGCAAAAGGCAACAGCGTACTGAGAGGGGTTTTTCCTATCTGTAAAAGAATGGCATGTCCATATCTGCAGGTATGGAGACGTTATGTTTGGAATGACGGTTTCCTCAGGGATCCGAAAATGTGTCCAGTAACACAAAACAAATGGGACCGTAAGAAAAACACTCTGCTCCTGACCAGTGAGTTAGACCTTCACTTAAAATAAAAAACAAAGTTCAGCGCTGAAAGTTGAACACCTCATTATCACTGCTCATGCAGCAGACTGCAAAGGGAGCTCTGTGCTCTCTCCTTTTAAAAGTCCAGTGTGTAAAGTTTCTGTTGACAGAAATGCAATATAAGATCTATGACTATGTTTTCAGTGGTGTATAAAGACCTTACATAATGAAGTGTTAGTTTGGATTACCTTAGAATGAGACATTTCTATCTACATAACCCTTACATGGACGTCGCCATGTTGCACCACCACGTTTCTACAGTAGCCCAAAATGGACAAACAGGGCTACAGATTTCGGGCTAACGTTTCATCACGTTCGAAGAAAAATAAGTAAAAATACACAGCAGGGGTCGGCAAACAAGTTTTTCATCGGAGTAATTTTTTACCCATGAGATGGTGGGTGAGAATCTAGGGCATAATATTTAATCCAAAGGTTACGGTGTTTGGTTAGCTCACTTGATAAAGTGTAGGACTCTCATGTGGAATGTCGCATGTTCAGTCCCACGTCAGGTGTCAAAATTTTTTTCCCCCATTCAACAAATTGATCATGCAGCGACTGTTTCACATGGGGACACTGCAGCACAAGCTTTATTGTGAGTGTTCTGGTGTTTGATCCGCATC